AGACAGGTGAGAAACACATCAGACAGGTGAGAAACACATCAGACAGGTGAGAAACACATCAGACAGGTGAGAAACACATTAGACAGGTAAGAAACACATCAGACAGGTGAGAAACACATCAGACAGGTGAGAAAGTCATCCGATGGAACTGTCCCAGATTGGAAACAGGAAGTGAGGGCTCAGGTGAGTTTGTACCTGTCCTAATTTTTGGTAGACGACTCCAAACTTGAAGGTGTTGTTCAGCTCATGTTCATCATAGGTAACGATCAGATGAGATGCCTGCACACACAGAAACAGCTAAAATCAGCCGAAGGAGGGTCCAGCAGAAGAATCTCAGGTGTGTTTGGGGTTAACGAGCTGACCTTTGGGTAAAGAACCGGAGTGAACCGGGGTGACCCCACTTCCTCCCACAGCAGCTTCAGGACAAATGACACAGAGGTAAAACTCAGGTCTTTATTTTCAATAAAAACCTGAATTTAATTAGTTCAATTTACGACGTTAACTCTCTGTCCTCTTTAGTTCAGGTCGTTCTAAATTATTCTAAATTAAACATTTTTAATTCAGGTGGAGATCGTCTGCGTTCTGTGAAGTTCTCACCTTGGCCAGTTGTGGAACGCTCGGCATGTCCGGCAGCTCCAGCAGAGGCAATCTGTGATAAACGCTTTTCATCCCACTCCTGAAACCAGAACAGAACCAGAACAGGTCCAGAGCCACACAGTTACAGGAAACAACTCCAGCTTCTCTGAAACCCAACAGGAAGTCAGGACTTCCTGTTGTAATAATGTAACCTGCAATAGAAGCAGACTCTTATTTTGAAACTCTGGGTGTTGTTTGTGTACCTGATGACAACGTGGAGGTATTCCTGCTCATTCTCCTCTTCGTGTCTAACAGAAAGCAGAAGGTTTCCCAAACTGCAGGCTGAGCCGAAGAAATTCAGATGTTCCTGAGAGACAGAAGCAAGTTACAGGTAAGAAAACAAACATCTATACACCTGAACAAACAAACAAACAAACAAACAGCCTCACCCTGCCCAGGAAGTGCTTCCTGTATGCCCGCGCAGCCTCGTTGACTTCCTCCAGATGGTACCCATAGTTCCCCAGGGGACAATCTTCCTCCTTCCTCTCACTGTTGCTCACCTGAGAGGTGGGCGGAGCCTCAGGCTCTTCAATCCAGTACCCCCCAAATTGAGGCAGGATGACCTGAGGGTACGGCGGTCCTCGCTCCAACACCTGTTACACACCAGCTAACTGTCACTAGGGCTCTTCTCCCTGAGAATCAACGCAAAGCTCTCGGACCGCCTTTTGCTACTGTTAGCTTCTAGTTAGCCTTTTGCTACTGTTAGCTTCTAGTTAGCCTAGTGCCACTGTCAGCTTCAAGCTAGTGTTTTGCTTCTTTTAGTTAACATCATCATCTATCAGAACTCATTTTCAGCTTCTTTAGTGTTTAAGCTGTAGTTTAGCTGAAAATGTAACTCGGCTGGTTTTAAATTCTTACTTTTTATTTTGATTTATTTTATTTATTTTTAATGCACTGAACCCAACGTACGTTATTCCTTCACGTAGCTTTTTTAGAGATCAAGCTGCGCCACAACTCCACCACGAAACAAAAGTAAAGGGAGAAGCTCTGATGCAGCTGCAGCTCAAAGGTAAATGTTCCTTCTCATATTATACCAAAACTTATAAAGTTATAAAACAAACTTAATGTAATTTGTTTTTTAACAGGTTGAAGAGATGAGAAACATCTGGAGCCAGTTCTAAATTATACAATTTATAAATTACAGTTCAGAAGAGTTTTTGTGCAGGTTTGCACAGGTTTTGAAACTCTGTTAAAGATTTACTAAATATGAATCAATATGGTTAAGACTGAACTCTGTATATTTCATATTAGGTTAAGTTTAGAAAATATAATAAATGTTAGAACAATATGGTGAAAATAACTGAAGTCTGTTTACTTTTATATTTATATATTTAGAATTATTTGTCTTCGATGGACTGGAGACCGGCAGCACGGTGGCACAACTGGTAGAGCTGCTGCCTCTCAGTGAGCAGGTCCCTGGTTCAAACCCCGGTCCAGGGGCCTTTCTGAGTGGAGTTTGCATGTTCTCTCCGTGCATGCGTGGGTTTTCTCCGGGTGCTCCAGTTTCCTCCCACAGACCAAAAACATGCATGTTAGGCTGATTGGTAACTCTAAATTGTCCCTAGGTGTGAGTGAGAGAGTGAATGGTTGTTTGTCTCGTTTGTCTCTATGTGTCCCTGTGATGGACTTGCGACCCGTCCAGGGTGTACCCCGCCCCTCGCACAGTGATTGCTGGACATGGGCACCAGCGACCCCCGTGACCCAAAATGGAATAAGCGGGTAAAGAAAATGGATGGATGGACTGGAGACCTGTCCAGGTGTCTCTGTGATGGACTGGAGACCTGTCCAGGTGTCCCTGTGATGGACTGGAGACCTGTCCAGGTGTCCCTGCGATGGACTGGAGACCTGTCCAGGTGTCCCTGCGATGGACTGGAGACCTGTCCAGGTGTCCCCCGCCTCTCACACAGTGATGACTGCATGTGGCACCAGGGACCCGTAAAGGAAGAAGTGGGTAAAGACGATGGATGAATTATTTGTTCCTAGATTTTTATGTAATTTGAGAACAATCCAGGCAGCTAACCCGACACTGTAATTTAAATTACAGAATATTATGCACTCCTATTTGCTCCTGGTTTTGTTATAAACATAAAATGATGCAAAAAGATTTGATACAGTAAAGAACGTAAAATGTTTGTTTTAAATAAATGTTCTGTTTGTTTACATTGTTGTTGAATATTTTCAGCTTGTCAGTTACACAACTGAAACAAAATTTATGACCATTTCAGTAGAACAATAATTGTGAATCAAAAATCGATTTTCAATTGAATCGTCAGACACAGATTCTCAGTCCTGATGTGAACTCGAGCAGTTTCTCAGCTTGTTCTGGCGACTTCATGTCCCCGTTTATTTGTTTTGTATTAATTAACAACATGTGGCTATTTCAGTCGCAAGGTTACCTAAACGCTTATGAATTTATATCAAATGAAATGACTATTTACTGACCCCCCACCAACATTTTTATTTTATTTTTTAATTCCTCAGCCCCCCCCCCCCCAGCTAAATCGTTCTGGAGGTGGTTCTGCCTGTTCAGTTCTTCTCACCTCCTCGATCCTTGGATAAGGAACGTAGTCCTCCTGAAACAGACAGAAACATTTCAAACTCAAAAAACAAAACACGAGGCGCTAAAATATCAGAAAATATGAAAGATGAACGTCAACATCACATGGACACGCCCCCAGGGGACACGCCCCCGTGGGGGACACGCCCCCGTGGGGACACGCCCCAATGGGGACACGCCCCTTGGAGTGTCAAACAAAGTTGTAAAAAGGTCATAAGTAAAGTTGGACGAATCAAAGTACATAAAGTTTTATTTTCTGTTCCGGTGTGTGAACAGGAAGAAGCAACACTTTCTATAAAAGACTTTAAGTTGCACAAACTGTCAAACAAAAGTTTTATTCTTTGCTGAAATGTTGTAAAGTATGAACAAAATGTTTCAGCCTGGTTTGATATTTGAGTTCCTTCTTGTTGAAAAAATTAACTAGACTGTTTTTACACAGGTCAGAGGTCATTTAGTCAGAAGTCATCAAATTAAGGGTCAAAGGTCAGAGGTCGTTCAGTCTGAGGCGTGTCTTTTTGCACCCAGGGGATGTGATCCTGTTTGTCAGGCTTTCATAAACCAACAGATGAACTTTGTTGGTTTGTGGTGGACGCAGAGTCAAACGATTGTTTATGATTTCCTGGAGAACACGGAGCGGTGATGAAGATGTGAACGTTGTGTTGCTGGGACACATGATGATGATGATGATGATGTTTGTTGTCTACATGAAACGCTGAAGAGACTCTTGATGACGTCACTCTCAGACACAGCTCGAGTCGCTCAGAGGACTTTTTCTAAGTGTTTGGACAGAGACAAAGAGACGGATGGACAGACGTGCCTTCTGTCTCTGAAGGACTGTCTTCATCTCTGCAGCTTCAGGAACCTGCTGCTCCAAGTCGAGAAGAAAAAATACAAATGAAAGCGCTGATGAAAAAACAACAGATTTAATCTAATAATCCTTGTCCCCTGAGTAAACGAGCGCTTCTCCTCTGAACCTCGGATGAATGACCTCGTTTGTAAGAAGAGGGACTAATAAACACAAGAAAACATTTATTACCAGGCGGACAAGAACATCAGGCTCGCTGAATTCTTTACCAGAAACACAAACGTAGACGTGATGATCCAGATTTTAAAAAGTTTAATTTATTCTTACCTCCATTCTCTCCATCGTGTCGAAGAAATGAGCCGACTGCAGAGAAACAAAGAAACGTGGGCTCATAACTCGACGACAGTCACCATAACATCAGGACACATCTGTCCTGATCAAGACTCACCTTCATGGTGGGCGGAGCCGTACGGGGGGGAGACGGCGGGCGGTCCACCATGGGGACATTCTGGACGCTCAGGACGTCCTGCTTCCTACAAGAAAAATGAAATCAGGAGTCGCAAACTAAAAAGACTCATCACAGCAGGCAGTCATGTTTCTGTGTCTGTTAACAAAATATCTCGTGACTCGCTGGAGGGATTTAAATGAAAACATCAGAGCGTCCTGCTCACAAGTCCTGGAAGGACTGACTGATGCAGACTTGTCCTCAGTAATGAGGATGTTGTTCCGGTTGGGTCATTAGATCAGATCGTTGTACAAACCAATTTGTTGTTATTTATTTTTGTTTGGACAGCACAGTGGTGCAGCTGGTAGAGCTGCTGCCTCTCAGCGACAAGGTTGCCGGTTCAAATCCCGGTCCGTTGGCCTTTCTGGGTGGAGTTTGCATGTTCTCTCCGTGTGTGGGTGTTTTCTCTAGGTACTCCGGTTTCCTCCCACAGACCAAAAACATGCATGTTAGACTGGTGACTCAGCTGTCCCCAGGTGTCCCTGTGATGGACTGGAGACCTGTCCAGGTGTCCCTGTGATAGATTGAAGACGTGTCCATGTGTCCATGTGATGGACTGGAAACCTGTACAGGTGTCCCTGTGATGGATTGAAGACCTGTCCATGTGTCCCTGTGATGGATTGAAGACCTGTCCATGTGTCCCTGTGATGGATTGAAGACCTGTCCATGTGTCCCTGTGATGGATTGAAGACCTGTCCATGTGTCCCTGTGATGGACTGGAAACCCGTGCATGTGTCCCTGTGATGGACTGGAAACCTGTCCAGGTGTCCCTGTGATGGACTGAAGACCTGTCCAGGTGTCCCTGTGATGGATTAAAGACCTGTCCATGTGTCCCTGTGATGGACAGGAAACCGGTGCATGTGTCCCTGTGATGGACTGCAGACCTGTCCAGGTGTCCCTGTGATGGACTGAAGACCTGTCCAGGTGTCCCTGTCATGGATTGAAGACCTGTCCATGTGTCCCTGTGATGGACTGGAAACCTGTCCAGGTGTCCCTGTGATGGACTGAAGACCTGTCCATGCGTCCCTGTGATGGACTGAAGACCTGTCCAGGTGTCCCTGTGATGGACTGGAAACCTGTCCATGTGTCCCTGTGATGGACTGGAAACCTGTCCAGGTGTCCCTGTGATGGACTGAAGACCTGTCCAGGTGTCCCTGTGATGGACTGGAAACCCGTCCATGTGTCCCTGTGATGGACTGGAGACCTGTCTAGGTGTCCCTGTGATGGACTGAAGACCTGTCCATGTGTCCCTGTGATGGACAGGAAACCTGTGCAGGTGTCCCTGTGATGGACTGGAGACATGTCCATGTGTCCCTGTGATGGACTGGAAACCTGTCCAGGTGTCCCTGTGATGGACTGGAAACCTGTCCATGTGTCCCTGTGATGGACTGGAGACCTGTCCAGGTGTCCCTGTGATGGACTGAAGACCTGTCCATGTGTCCCTGTGATGGACTGGAGACCTGGCCAGGTGTCCCTGTGATGGACTGGAGACCTGGCCAGGTGTCCCTGTGATGGACTGGAGACCTGTCCAGGTGTCCCTGTGATGGACTGGAGACCTGTCCAGGTGTCCCTGTGATGGACAGGAGACCTGTCCAGGTGTCCCCCACCCCTCACACAGTGACTGCTGGACATGGGCACCAGTGGCCCAAAATGGAAGAAACAGATGTTCTTCCTAGGGCTGTTTATTTTTAAAATGTGCTTCAGTAAAAGTTTACTGACGTGTTTGTTGCATCAGTGGAGGCTTTAAACTGAAGAATCCTCAGTTTACTGAAGACGTGTTGTCCCAGTGAAGACACCTGCTTCAGTCTGGTGTGAAGTTTCAAAATAAAATCATTTCACTGATTTGTTTCACAATAAAACACTTTCTGAATTGTTGCGTGTTTAAATGAAACAGGACTCAGGTTTGGATCAGATCTCAGATGTTTCTTTTTTCTAATTTGGATCAGTTACCAGTTTTTAAACAAAGAAATAAAGATTATTTTAGAAAGAAAAGCTGTATTAGGTCGTTTTCACACCAGATAGTCCGGTAGACTCGGTTCGGCTCGGGACCAATATTCATGAGGTTTTGTTACATTTGAGCTGGTGAGTTTGCATTCATACTGCACTGTGCAGTCGAGTCAACCTGTTGAACCAACCTGTTGAAGCAACCTGTTGAAGCAACCTATTGAACCAACCTATTGAACCAACCTGTTGAACCAACCTATTGAACCAATCTGTTGAACCAACCTATTGAACCAACCTATTGAACCAACCT